AAAGCAGGCTACACCTGGTGGCAGCTTGAAAGGATAGCCCAAAACAGACCAAGATGGCAAGCAATGGTTTCCGTGGACATATGCTCCACTGGGAGCGAAAGGGTTTAATGATGATGATGTACGCAGTGCGTGCGTGTACTGGCTTTCACAAATGATAATATCAACGAGTTTTGATTGGAAGCGAAAACCGCGTTGTTGTAGGAGTTAAATAGCAGGAATGAAATCATTGTCCATGTGCGTGAACGAGCTGTTGCAAGGATGAGGATTTGGCGTGGATGCATGGACATTTCACCTCGATTTATTTTTATTCACATCCGGAGACCAAACTAGAACCGAAACGAAAGTCATTAACCAAACACGATCGCATTTCCATTCTTGCACATTTAAGCGCTAAATATGAAAAGACATCCAAAAATAAAAGCGAAAGACATATGCAAACACCAATTTGAAAACAAGAAACCAAACAATTTATTCGCCGTAAGAAATAAGCTATTACGAGATGAAGAAGCTGAAAATATGCAACAACGATTGAAAGACACGAAAGAGGCGTTTCATTGGTGGGATTAGCTGATATCACCTTATTTCGAGCGATAATCTTAAAATTCGGGATGCAAACATCCCTAATTACTGAAAACTACTTACTTCAATGAAGATAAAAGGTTCCAACTTGGATTCCAGAATAAGCAAATCTCTCTCTTCGATCTCCTCGCGAGCGAAAGTCAACAGCTACAAAACTGCTACAGACCGAACCGGTTTGCACGTCGATGGATCACGCAACGTTGCGTCACAAGGCAAATAATATTACAAGGTGGGGAGGGGGCAGGAGTGGGGGCGGCTGGGTCCGGGTATGTATTCTTCAAGTTGCAAAAATTAATGATTTTCCCGCTCAACATCCTGTTTTATTGGATCTAACTATCCCATATGCGATAATTTTCCCCCAGATATCCTGCATCTTTTACCTTAATATCCCGTGTCCCGTATTGTGCAGTCGCTCTTCAGGCAGACTTTTTTCAGCTTTTTTTGTGAATCCGTCCTCGCCCGAGCAGTGCCTTGAGATAAATCCCTAATTAATTAATTAAGTCCAGTTACAGTTAGCTCTCCCTTCAACAACTCACTTCATATCTTCATCTTGGTGTTCTGAGCGTATTTTGTGCATCGTTCTAGCCAAAAATCAGAAAAATTTATAGGTGTCGTGGGCTGCTCTTATATAGCTTAGTGTCCTGTGGTTGTGTTTATAACAGCGAGAAGCCTTGGACGGAGTGTAGTCAAATTCAACATGGAGGACTCACGCAATATTAGTGAACCTCTTGCGGCTAAAAGCTCCCAACTAAATGATATTACGACTTCACCAGAAGAAAATAATGTGAAAAAATCTATAACGAGTGAAGATAACTTTGTAGGTGAAAAGACAAGTTTTATCGAGAACGAGAGTCGAGAACAAAAGCCAGCTGATGAACACACATCTTTGGAAGTGGAAAATGGAACGGACATGTTAGATCCAGTTTCAAGTGGAGAAAAAAGTGAAACGAGGGAAACGAGTAGTAATAAATTAAATGAATTGACAACACAGGAACAGTCTACAACAGAAACACCGAATAGGGTTTCCTTAGAATCAGAGAAACGCGAAAATTTGCTCTCTGATAATATTGATCAGGAAGAGAGTGCTGCTAGTACCAAGGAAAACCAACAAGAAGCAAATCCACCGGAGCTTTCCCACACCCAGTCTGAAATTAATAGCAGTCCCAAGAGTTCACCAGTTGAACATGACCATGGAAGTCACAGATCACCCGACAGAAAGAGCAAGGATGAATACAGGAAGATTAAGAGTGAAGTGACAGGGGAAGGAGAAACATCAGAGAGTGAAGGCGAAGAAAAAGATTCTGATCAATCTCAGGACACTTGGATGGATATTTTAGGGAATGGGCTACTCAAGAAAAGGGTAATTTCAACAGACACAAATCTTTGTACCAAGCAGGGGTTTCATTAAGGGCTGCACTGTGCAAATTGACTGGCTAGGATAATTATTTTGCCCACCTGGTGTGGCCATCTGGAGGAAAGTTTTTCTCATAAAGAATTTCATTTCAAAAAGTTTTGCCTGTCTGTGGAAACCAGTTGTCCTCCTGCTGAAAACATTAATGAAACCCCTGAACAAGTAGCTATATTCTCGGTTTTCATTATTGGCCAAAGTACAGTCCATGAGAAGCTTACACCAAAGATTAAGAAAATGTTGAAACATCATAGTTAAAAGGGGAATATCCATGCTGAAGATCTTGGTGTGACCTGTGCAAAATTCATGCTTTGATTTATTAGGAAGGGGGTAGGGGAGTGGAGGAGTGGAACCTGCAAGTGAGCAGGTGGAAACTTTGTGGGAGGTAGAGGAAAAGAGACTGGGGTAAGATTCCCAAGGTGTCAGGAACTGCGAAATATTTGGAAAAAATGTTAGTTTTGTACTCAGGAAGCACCCAGGAGGTGTGGAGGGATATAGAGGGGGGAGACACTCACAGGGAAGGGAATGAACAAGATAAGGATGGGGTTGAAGCTGAATAATGAACGCTTAAAAACATATGACAAATGCAGAAAATGCAATCCATTGGTGGGCGTCTACATTAATTTTATCATGTGTTCTCAAAAAATGCTGTTGTGTTATAGTATACGGCATGTGTCTTTAGATCCTCTATGGTCTAGGTTTATATGCTAACCACACATTAACACATTAGTGACAACGGGCATCTCTTTCTGGGTTAAATGCAATAGATTTTAGTGGTGCAGTGTTAAAACATATAAGTATTTCTGAAGACTTCTAAGGTGTCCTGTGGTGACTTGTTAACACTTTCTAGTCAATTTTCTCTCCGATTTACCAGGAATTCTGACTCTACTAGTTAAAATGTCAAAAACTTGTAGCATGAAGCATCATTTTGAATTAAGGATTATTTTTTCTTGAATTGTTACAAGTTTGTATATTAAAGAATTTACAAAATAATAATAATAATAATAATAATAATAATAATAATAATTGTACTTATATAGCTAGCGCACATATCCTAAGTTCATGGCGTTTTACAAACTTAGAAAAAATATACAAACAAGTAAAAAATAACCAAAGTGAAAATGATTAAAAAAGTAATGGTTTATTTAGTTTGCTATCCCAGATTTGTGATTCAGGTAAGAGAAATTTAAGAGACAAACAATTTACAACAAATGATATGAATAACCATATCCTCAAAACAAAGATTTTATTATCTGTTCATTAAACAACAGAAATGCTAAAACTCTTCCAAGTTAAAGGTAAATACAGATTGGACTGTAAAGTAAACTTTGAGACCCCCTCAGGCAACAAATAAGGGTATAATGACAAATGTTAACATTATTTTGGGAAGTGTACAGTCTAGACGACAAATTTTTAAGTAACTGTGTCTTACCTTTTGCGCAGGTGTTACGTCAAGGAAAGGGTCAGGATACTCGGCCAGACAAGGGGCAACGTGTTACTATACAGGTTGCTGGCCGTACAGAGGATGGGACAGGTGTTGATTGGAACAGCAGTCTCGAATTTATCCTTGGAGAAGGAGAGGTTATTCAAGGTATTGTGTACACCAATGATGCTACATTCATTTTGCTTACCTTAGTTTGAAGCCATCATATCACAAACGTTAATTACTGCTTTCCAGTGGTGTGGAAATTCAGAAATAGTTTTCAAAGTGACTTAAAATATAAGTGCTGCTCACTTGGATGGGTTGAATACAGGGAAGACACAGAATCCTCCCGGTTAGTGCACTGGAAATTGGTAAAAAAGGAAAGGAATTAAATGGTTGTCACTGGCTAAAAATATGGTTATCGGA